CCCCAAAACCCCAAAACCCCAAAACCCCAAAACCCCTTTTAGTTTCATTAATTGAAAAATTACTTCAAAAACATTATTACTGTTGTTATGTCATCTACCATGCCTTCTGAAGCATTTCTCCATCGATAATATGCTTCTTTAACAAGCGCTTCACCAGCTCCTTGAGCGCTTTTCTGCACATAATATGGCATTATAATTTCAGCTGCTTCTTCATTTGGAAGAAATTCCCATATCCCATCAGATCCAGAAATGATGAAGCAATCTTCATCTTGTTTGATTTTGATTTCCTTGATCTCAGGAATAGAGATGACGCCAGCTTGGGCACCAATGGCATCTCCCATAGACCTAGACATCGCTAGACCAGGAGCATCTAAATGCTTGAGCCAAACTCTTTTAGGCCCTTTAGGCCTGCCTGAAGGGTCAAAAACAGGATCTACTCTGCCTCCAAAGGTTAATATTCTTTCTAATTCATCTGGAAGAGTCGGCTTATGATCTTCACTTAGAGGCACTCATTTGATATCATATCTATTGATATTAGGAGTACTACTAAGTGTTTTTGATATTAATTGCTTGCGTTTGACCAATACTGCTCTGGAATCTCCAACATTTGCTGTAAAGACCCTATCTTTCAAAAATAATCACATTATGCATGTACTTCCACTGAGCTTAATATCAAAAGTGCAATTGTAGAGACCAGTGTTGACTTCATGGAATGTCTCTGTTAGAACTGCTTTGAACCTCTCAGAACCGACTGTCTGATCAGGAGTGATTTCCATGAATAACTTATCAAGTTTGTCAGAAAGGATCTTAGGGAAGGTCTCTTTGATGTATTCTGAAACATTATTTTCCGTTGATTCCATGCCCATCACAGACACCGAAAAGGTGCACATCCTTCATACCCTTGAATATTGGCTCAATGATGTACTGATCCTGGTTCTTTTTCTTCGGATTCCGGAGGCTCTTCCCTGCCTTAGTTGCGAATGAAAATTTAGTCACATGATTTTCAAAATTTGTAGCCTTATGATAAGTTTTGAGAATTGCTTCGGGGAAATTATCTTTCGGTAGCAATTTCTTCCGACTGTATTTGTTACTTGAACCCGAACGTCTTTTATCCAGCTTAGAGGTCAAATATGGCTTTTCCCTCCCAGAAGGAAATGCTTGCTTTGCTCTGAATTCCTTCTCCATATAGGGATTTATCCTTGAGGAAGTCTGGTTAGGTTTTTTCAGCCTCATGTAATGATGCCTTTCAATACTGCTTGGCTTATTCACAGCTAGAATTTTCAGATTCCTATCTACAGAAAGTGTTTCTGCCCGCCTATGGTACTTGTCATGAGAGGTTCTGGGCTTATTATGTCCAGAATTCACCCAAGTTTGTTTATTTTTCATGAGTTTTTCTATGACTATAGTTTGAATAATTGAGTCCGTTATGACTATTGCCCAAAAACAACTGATCTATTTTCCTCTTGGTCACTCTAGACATATTCTTCCGATTTGCTTCAGAGCGAGTCCTTGTTATTCCCTTCTGGTTGATACCAGAATTATCGGCTTTATTACTAGACCGGTTGAGGTGCGGGTTCAAGTTCAGTGTATATTTCCTGCGATGTTTTGGGTTGATATACTTTACAAACCCAGCATTCCGTACTTTCATTCCTCTCATGATATAATTCTATAATATTTTTAAATAAAGGGGTTTTGGGGTTTTGGGGTTTTGGGGTTTTGGGGTTTTGGGG